CACCAATCAGAAAAATTGTACCGAATAATACAATAACTAACATAAACTTACTAGCTTTCTATAGCTTTTTTTTTTTTCATCTTCTGTGTCAGCTATGTTCAAGCTGAGCACGGTCAAATGGGATGGTTGTGGATATGAAGCACGTATGAAATGCAGAAACCTTTACATTTCTTGTGTGTCTCCTGTCCTTTAAACCTTTACATTTCTTGTGCGTCTCCTGTCCTTTAAACCTTTACATTTCTCGTGTGTCTCCTGTCCTTTGCTTTCTAGTTTGTTCCTTTCTCTAGCCAGCGCTCAAGGACTCGGTGGCTGAATTACAAAGCATTACAGTACTTAGATAAAAATAACGTTCAGAGAAACATCCACTTGCTCTGTAAAACACCTGTGTTCGTAATGCCCATGTGCAGTTGTCACTGCTTACCTGCAAAGGCGGTAGACACAGAGGTGTAAAGAAAACATTGGAAGTTTGAATCCAGTTCAAAACTAAGTTTTAAAAGCAAAGCCATAACCGGCCCCCAGACACATCATTAAGGAGTTGGGAGAACATTAATCCATTTACTCACCTGTTTTTTAACCATTTTAAACCACCATTACTTCACACAAAGAAACAGATCGCAATAGTGCTGGTAAGAATTGTATGGTTTTCAGTGTGTTAAAATCTGCGTGCGTGTGTAAAAGCTGTGCTGTGTACAGCCGTTCAGTTCAGTAGATTCCGTTTTGTTTTGCAGGATGCAGTCAGGATGATGATTACTCAAGGCAACATGCAACTTCAGGAACTTCAAAGAACACTTAAGCTGGCAAAATCCTGATCTTAATTTTGTTGACAGCTGGACTTTCATCTGCTGCGAACCAGCATAGTAGTTTTTCCAGAGTGTGGTTATAATAGCAGCCTTTGCTGACAACCTGCAGGTGGTGGTGGTTTGAAGGTGGAATCTGCCACAGTGGGGTTTTTGTTTGGGTTTTTTTCCCCTTCCCCTTCTCAGTTTGGTTACCCTCCCGTGTGGAAATCACTTGGACACAAAGGACTTTAAAGAACTGAATGGATGACATAGCATGTGCTGTGGGAAAAGCAGAAAGCACCAAAAATTACAACAGCAGCGTTATGCCAGGGAAATGGAAAATAAATGTAAGCCAGGTAATTTTGTCCGTTTTCTGTTGTGGCAACTCTTAAGTGGTAACATTCATAGTGGTAACAGCTCTTTCTGTACTGTGCCAAGGATTTTTACCAAAGTTTGGGATTAAAAAAGCATTTGGGATAAATAAACGGGCCCAAAACAAATAAACATGATAAAACATCAAGCAAATGTTTTGTGTGTAGATGTTAATTTTCAGCTATAGCTGAGTAAAACTTAAAAGGGGAGGTTTTTATGTATGAAAATGAGAGATTATAGCCCTAGAAAGGGCCAAGTTAACCAAGTTAACAGGAAGTACCTTCAAGTTAGTATTTAAAAGTCAATATAAAGTAGAATTACAAATAGGAAATACTAACTGCAAATACTGTGGTCTGTTTTTCCAAATGTCGTATTACTCTACTTTTAATTGTTAGCTTGCAGCGGTTCTTACCTTCCTGTGAATTGTGGGGTTTTGTGGTGGGTTTTTTTTTTCCTTTGCCCCATGTAATTTAAAAATGCCAAGGCGTGTGTGGGATTTTCTCAACACTAATAGCCAGACGGCAGTCGGTAGATACCCGACGATCCAGTAGTTGTGGGCAATATGTAGGCTGTGGTTTCAGGAGGTGCAGGAGCCCTTCCCTGTCCCGCTCTGCTATTACACTTCATGTAGGCAGCCACCTCCCCTTGCCCAGCAGGCTTTCTGCCGAGTTAGCGAGCCGGGCTGCCTCGCAGCAAGGCCGGTCCAGGACTGGGCAGTATTTCCCATCCAGGCTACAGGAGGGAAGGACCCCGCTCGGGCGCAAGAAGCGTGCCCCTTGCTGCAGCCAAACAAAGGGTCTGCAAAGCTAGGTACTTCAGCAAAGCCACTTTGCAAAGCGTTTGCTGGTTAACAGGAAAGAATGCCTTGGTATTTTCCTTTTTTTTTGAAAGTTATTGTAGAATCCTTTCCTGTGATGTTGAGCTTTGCAGTAAAGGATGTGGCTCAGGCAACCAGTGAGGCTGCTAAAGAGTTCAGGTTTGTATAGACAGAAGCCTTGGAGCTTCTAATCAGTCAGTGAAAAATACATATGTCTAAATACTTTGTTTAAAAGCTGAATTTTGTTAACGTTTTCTGGTAGAATAGACTGGCAGAATGTTAGCGTGTTGGGGACTGATTTTTCACGTGACCAGAAAATGCTGTTTAAGAAAGGAATTTTAACTAAACAAAGCTGTAATCCATGTCGGCTTGTTCTCACGTGTAGCCTTCCCTTTCCCTTCAGCCAGTGGTTTCATTTCTGCTCCTTACATAGGAGACTTTCCCCTGCCGCCTCAGCGCAGTGCTTTTTCCCTTCAGACCCCGGAGCCTGCAGCACGCCTTTCACTCCAGTTTATACGTTTCTAGGTTGTGGCCACATAATCCAGGGACAGGGCTTGACAGGCAGCGCCCTGGACAGACGCTGACCTCCTGCCTGCTGCTGCCCGTGGTCTCCGCTGCTTTGTGGGCTCGTCAGGATAAAATTGCCTGCCAGAAGCCTTTAGGAGCCCAAGCATACTTTGCTAGGGTAAGTAAATTTACCTCAAGTGTGTGCTTCAGAGAAAGGTAGATAATATGGGGATTTTGTAAAGAAGTCCTTCAACTCTAGTAGTTCCGAAGGAGGCAGGACCTCAGAGGGGAGTAGAACGGAATTAGCAGAAAATGCCTCCCTTTATTTTACAGTATGCTTGTTGGCTTTGGAAAACCTCTAAAATCAGTACTCTGCAGCTAAGTTACCGTTTTAAATCACCGCTCCCTTAGTTACTGTAAGTTACTGCTCCAAGAGCTGCCTTGGTAGTGCAGTGCGTTTGTGAAGTAGATCAGCGAAAGCCGCAGCCTTGCTCAGGAGCGTGCGCGTGATCAGCTGCACGACTCGGCCCCGTGCCAGTAAATTCCGGAACGGTGGGTGCGTGCATCAGCTAACGAAGGGCAGTCCCTCCCCGCAGCCTGCCTCGGGACAGACCCGGTTTCCATGTTTTATGGCCGCAAACACATAAAGCTTAGAAGTTGGAAGTCCAATTTTCTGCTTCCCCCTTCTGAATCAAGTGCGGGGATACTGTCCGTTTTCTCTGGCTAGAAAACATGACACCACAGACTTCCGAGCAACACTTATTTTAATTGCTTGGCAAAACATTCACTTTATCAAGATGATACAAAACTTAAATAGCATGCTTCTGCATTCCTACAGTAGCTTAAACAAAACTGTAAACATATGAAAGTGTCTATGTTAGACTACAGAAGTCAGAGCAATAAAACTAGTATTTCCGTAACTGCAGATACACTTGTCTTGATAGTGTATTAATAGGAACTTTTAAAATATTGTTATAGAATACATTTTTCTTTGCTTTATACATCTGCTAAGACGACAAAAGCTTAATTACTAATTAGTCAGTGGTGTCTTCAATACTGTAAAGTATTTTGTATTGATTTTAGGGCTCCTCAGTACAGAAAAACACTTTCTCTCCGTGGCGTAACAGTACTGTCCTGTGTTTGAATTGCTTTTGAACAATTGTTCTGTCATGACCTGTTAAGCAAACTCACTTTTCTAACAGAATCTGATGGAGCCTTCTGAAGGAGAAGGCCCTAAAGGGATGCAGATGCAATGAGTTACCATGCCTCTAGTTTATTTGGAGTCTGTCAGCCTGGACAACATTGGCCATTGTAGGTTTTGATTTTATGAGAAAGCACATCCATAAAAACTTTTAAAATGTTGTTGAGTTCTATTTTGTGGGACTGTTGGTGAAACCGGTCCTAAGACCTGCTGACTCACCAGGGCGCAGCCTCTCTTTTTAGAGATACAAGGGAATAAAAAGAGGAATCATTCTGAGGAACAAAGGAAGACAGCCTGGACAAGGTGTCTGGGAGAAAATCCTGACTCTGCAGAAAAGGAAACATTTGAGTACAGGGAAGCAAGCTCTCACTTCTTTAGCAAAAGGACTTGTTCAAGCTTCTTCAGTAGTAGAGAATTCAGCCATTTGCCACTTGAAGGAAAAGAGATTTATATAAAAATTACACCTAACAAGTAGAGCATGGTTATGGTAAAATATTTGCCATCCATGCCTCCATCCATGCCTTAAACAAAACTCCTCAGTCGGATTACTTGAGTATGGCCCCACCAACCGTGTAATCGCAAGGAGCTTTGCAACCAGGACACCATTAAAAAAAAAAAAAAAAAAACCAGACAGACAAATCTAATTTAGCATTTGTTTTGATAGTGTAAAACCAAAAGAAAAGCACAGTGGCAACCGCAGCCTCTGTACCCAGTAGGATGATTCACCTCAGCATCGCACTCAGTGGGAGCCCGGCCTCTCCCAGCTGGAAGCCTGCAGCTGTCACCTACGCGGGCTTGTAGTTCGAGTTGGTTCTGTAGCTTCTCTCCACTGACTAGAGGGAGGCCGTGGGGAGTATCTAAAATAGTAGCAATAGCCCTTCATCACTAAGGAATTTCTGTCAAAAGCTCTCAAACATCCTCGATTTATTTCAGTATTGGCCTCGGCACGTGTTTACATGTAGCATACGGTGGAACCCTCTAGCCACACGTGACCTATGTGGAAATAAGGAAATTCCCTTTTCAGACAGCAATTTTGGTTTCTAATGCAGTTTGTTTTCAAGCAGCACCTGGAAATTGAGAGTGCAATATTTAACGGAGTCTTGGAAATAACAAAGAAGGGATCTAATCTGCAGCATCTCGTTGTCATCAGTACAGTCTGCATATGAATTCTCCTCGGTTCTGGAGTTTCCAAAGTTACTTCTGCTCCTGAGAAAGAGCATTTTGTTTGGATGTAACAGGCACTATTATCTATCAATATTCCAGATTCCCATACAGCAGGTCCCAAAATGAGTCTCTCTGCTTGTCTTTACCTGCTGGGTAGGTGCTAGCTCTCCTTCTGCACCTTAGTCCTTAATTTGCTGAGCTCCTCTTCTAAGCTTTTAATATGTTCCTTGAGCGCAGCTTTGTCTTGCTGCGCTTTCTGATTCGCTTGGCACCGGGCTTCTTCTATCTTCCGTTCGTACCACTTCTCCATCTGCGTGGAAACGGCCTCAAAGAAGTACTGCGTTATCTCCAGGGCCTGGGAGGTGTCTCTGAGCGGAGGGGCCGGCGGCTGTCCCGCAGGCAGGGCCGCGGGCTGCTGCTCCTGGCTCTGGTGTGCCCCGGCCTGGTGCAGAGCTTTGTGCCTCGACTGCCCGCTTTTGCTGGACTTCTTTGTCTGAGTTCCTTTGTCAATGAAGTAGCCACTCTGTGGTTCGGCCTTTGCAGGTTCAGTCAAGGGCTGCAAAGCAGCTTGAACCTTAACGTGTCTTAATTTGGAGCCCAAAAGCTCGGAGGAGGGCAGCTCCTGCTGGAACCTGTGGAACGTGCTGGCACTAACAGCTTTGTCCTTTGGCCTGACATCTTGAGTAGGGGCAGAAGAAACTGGTCCGCCAATGATTAACTGTTGCTCTGTACCTATAGAATAAAATATATATATATTTAGAAAACCTCTGGGCATTTATTTTAGCATTCAGAAATCCTCATTGTTTGATGAATGATGCAGTTTCCCACATACCACGCCGTGTGTACATTGCAGAGGCTTGTGTTTATCACATCTTCGCAGTCAGGTGACTATTATAATAAAGAGTCATTAAGAGAAAAGCTGGCTCAGGCAGAGAGGCACTGCATTGTGGCTGTGGGACTACAGACTGACAATGAAGGACTTCACCAGAAGGACGTGTAGCAAAGATTGGGCTAGATTCCCAAAGTAGTTTATGTCTGCCAGTATTTATGAACCCCCTGCTTCTACAAAACTTGGAAGCCCCACTAACTTTGCAAAGGTAACACATTTGATGGTCCTGACCTGTTTGTTGCAGTAGCTCACGCTCATGCTGCCACAAGATCTCCCATGTGGTCTTCTGCCTTTCTAGTCTGCGGTATCCATCTACACGTCTGTTCTCTTTGCACAGTGTTTTGAGGGGCATATACAATGTACCTTACAGAAGCCCCGGGCTTTGATAGCGCTCTCCTTGGCTGTGGAGACCTGGGCATTCTGCCTGTTTCTTTTTTCCTCGGAAGCTTCCCTGGCCAAGCACAGAGAGGTGGCTTGAACCAAGGCCTTCTGTATCTTCGGGTGGCCATGATCCCTGAATGGGCTTGAATTTTCTCACCTATTTTTGTTCTTGTCAAGTGAACTAATAATTAAACAGACTTTGGTTCAAGGAAAGGAAAAAGTGAGAGGTTTATTCTAGATCCTTGCAGTTTGAATATTAACAAGGGAAACGAGTATTTTAGGTTCGCATCCTTGCACCCTGCCATTACAGGTTCCATACATCTGAAAAGCACTAAATACAATACACTTTCTTCAGTAGACTTTGGATAATCTGCACACCTTCCTGACGGACAATGGGGTGGGAGTAATTCTGACTGGGAAGCTGGAGAAAGTTCAGAAAACACAGTTATTCAGAGCATCAAAGGACTTGGCTTCAAAGACACAGTGACATGGAAGCATCAGGAAGAGCCACTGGAATTCCACCCAACTGTGTCTTAAACTATTCCCAGCAGCTGCCTTGAAGAGTATTCTAATCCCAAGACATTAGGCATATGGATGGGGGAAAGCACACAGCCAGAATTAGTATCTCTGGTACTACTACAAGTATCCCTCAGTTAATTAGGTCGCCTTTGAATGAATATGACATGTAAGTACCTGACAAGGTTGTACCTGACGCACCATCCTGTTGAATGCAAAAATGTTGCCCAGAGCTCTGTTCTGGCATCTGGACTCTGCTCCTTCCCCCATCTTCCGAGAGGCTATTTGGAAGCGTGATACAGGAATGCTGGTGGGAGCCCTCTGGCTGCAGCATGGGCTGGCTGGCTTTACACTCCTTGGCACTGTGGGGGTTGTTCTCAGTATCCAGGGTCTCGGTGAGAGACTCACAAGTGGACAAAGTTGATTTTGGTCTTGATGACCTGGAATCTCCAGAAAGCTTGAGCTCCAGATTCTGAATCTTCAATGTGCACCAAGTCTTCAGCTCATCCACCAAGGAAATCTGTGAGAAAGGGACTGTAAATTAGATGATCCTATGATTAGATCCCAAGGTTCCTGGGCTGCTGAGGATGTGTGGCAGGGACAAAGAGAAGCCAGCCTGGTATCTGTGGGCTTAGACTCCCTGTACAGGTATGCGTGCTGCCACTGGGAACATTTAAAGGACTGCAAATTAGAAAATAATGAAGAACTATGTGTTAGCTAATGAAAGGCACCCTCTATAGTCCACGCTACTGCCTCTTAGATTTGAATGTGCTACTTCAAATGCAGCTCTAAGTCCTCTGATCAAGGCTGACTTGTTTAATCATACAGTCAATGGTACCTGCTGAGTGCAAGGAACATCACGTGGTCAAAGCTGCCGTTTTTTAAGTGAAGCACAGCTTTATACCATTACCAACCTCTGCTCCTCTGTTCATTCGGTGATAAAGATGAGTCCAACACTAAATGATAAATTACTAACAGCTTTCAAATTACAAAGGTGCTTAATAAGTGTCAGCTGCAGAGGCATTTGCCAGTATCATTTAATATACGAGTAGCTCTTTTACCCTCTTGTTCATATGACATCATGAATTTAGGTCAGGCCCTCCTATGCACGTGGACATTTAGTCCATGCATTTAGTAAAGCCCAACTCAGTTTTTCCAGTGGTTTCCATTAGACTCAACAGAAGAGGTACAGCTGATACCGCTTAATGGTAATGTCAATTCACCTGATCCAGTATCTCATTTCTTAAATGGAGATTACAAGGAGATGGAGTGCAAGCCCAGACATTCAGAAGCCAATATAATAACTTATGTCTCTTACTATGAAATAAAAACTAAAGCCTTAGTTTGATAAATACTTTTCTTTGGGGAAAAGTGTTTTGTGGATGTTAGACTGAAGTATCTTTATCAGTAGTTTATGCTGGGATTATCACAGCTGCCCATCTTCTAACACAGATTTGGAATGGTCTTATGAAAAGTCATGACATTTTACTAGCACAAAGTGTATTTCTCAAGTCTTAGAAGAATACTAATCATGAGAAAATTAATTGTATTTTGAATTTACCCGTGCGAGTGGAGAAACACAAATTTCTTAGCATGTTTTAATGATGAGTTTTTGCAGAAGCTAGAAGGGCAAGAGCTGGATCTCTATGGGAACAGTTATTCTTGTCATGCTGGTTAAACAAGCATACAAAAAGAACTTGCCTACTGACAGTAATACACAGCTTGGAGATGGTGCACTGTTGCCAAAGTCAGAGGGAAGAACTGCAGCCGTTTAATACATGGGGAGGAAAAAGATCAGACAGGGAAGAAGGGAGAGATTGCCAGGGCACAGAACCAAATGGATGAGAAGGAAAAGGAACAACACAGATCTTAGCCTTTGCTGCTATTTGCAGATGTTCCTGCAGATGTCCTTTAATGAAGCAAAAGCTGAAAGCACAACTGTTAAAAATTTAGTGGTAGGAATTTTTGCAAAGCACTATGTTAGAAAAAAGATATTTTGTTATAGATCCCAGGCTTCAGACCCACCAAATTAAATTATGACAGTGGGACTGGATTTCACATTCCCCATTGCTAATGCAAAAGCTTTATAAATTTGGTTTAGAGATGAAGGTGGTGGATAGGAATAATTTGGTCTTTGAAGCTCCTTTGCCTGTTTCAACAGATGAGATAAATCTCCAATATTCTCTGCTTGCTGGAACGAAACTCATGAGCTGATCCATCTGAGCTAACAGGGAGTAGCTGTTTCAAGCCCTACCTGCCGTTTCTCCCCCTCACTTTTCTCCAGCTCACTGTGCTGTTGCAGGCGGTGAAGGCACTCTGTTCTCTCTGCAGACAGCCGCTCAGCCATAAGCTTGTCTAAAACACGCAGCTGTGGAAAAAAAACACAACTTAGCTGAGATGATCATGTTAAAAACCAAACAAAACCCCTATCTGTGAACCTTGTAAGTCAAAGTACAGTCTGTCTCTCAGTCTTCATTTCTAGGAATGATGCCAACTACAATTAGGTGTAGCTTGCAAAAAGGCTCAATCACAAAATTATCGGTAAATAACAATTACATTAAAAAATAATTTAGAGGATCTTGAATCTCAGTGCAGACAGAATTCAGCAAGAGGGATTTTTTACAATTATGAACTGACCAGCTGTAGGACTGCCCCTGTTTTTAAGCTTCCCTCTTAGGGCCTCAAGCAGTTTAGATTTATTGTCTAAAGAAGCACCAGAAGCCATTTAACACATTAAATGTGTTTTCCTCAAGACCCTAGTTTGCAACATTAGATCCCTGTGGAATGTCACAGTTCCCTGGTCTTGAGTATGAGCTTTCAGGTTCGTTTTTACAACACAAGAAGCCATAAACAAATCATGACAATGAAAATATTTGTTAAGCTTAGGCTGTGTTTCTAATAGTCATGTGGGCAAGCAGACCTCCGGGTCATATTCTTACTTGATGTTGAGTTTTGCTTTCCATCTGGCCCAGCTTAACATTCATCTTATCTTGTACTGTCCCAAACTCAGCTTTTATCTCTTCCACCGTTGCCTCCAGCTGATTCTCCAGTTTATTTATCAGGGGCTCACAACGACATCCATTTATCGGTGCCTGAAAGGAGTAATACATTCACTTGCTACATCCCGCTGTCCCCTTAGTGCACTTGGAACATTATCACAGCCATCTTGGGCTCTTAGGTACCATGTACTGTATCTCACACTCCTGATAATATCTTACTGTAGCTCAGCCAACGGGCTATTAGTTGGAAAAGCAGACTAGAAAAGGATTGATCTGATTTATATGGACACATCCTAACACACAGCAGCATTGATGTCACTGGGGCTACAAGCAGCAATGAGCTCAGATCACGCATGCCACGGTACTGCGTGCTCCATGAGGGTGTACCACATTACAGGCCTATACCCCGAGTCTCAATGCTGTAATTCTGAATGGTACAAAAAAAAAAATCTGATTTTGTGGATGTGTGTGGTTTTGTGTGCATTTGTCTTTTAACCTAATGTCAATAATTTGCCTTTTTTTTGTTGTTGTTGTTGTACGGTATGGCAAGGTCTCACTTGCTCCTGTCTGCCTTCACCCTGCTGACCCTTATCTGCTGTGCACACCGCTGCCTTCATTGACCTGCATGACACCGTCCCAAGGCTCCTCTGCAACAGGAGCTGCACTGACCACATTTAAATCTCTCGGGGAGATTGTCACAAAAGGCTCCCTGAACCTAATCCTCATCAGCTTCCTCTGCAGTCTGCAGGCAGAAATTGGCTCCTTTTGGGGGGGCAGTCAGGAGCCCAGAGCTGCTGCTCTGAATCTGTCTGCAGAAGAGCCTTCCTCTTTCCTTTGGCCCCTGCAGTACAGTTTCAGAAATTGGGGGTTATTCCCTTGGCAGAGTAAGGTGGGTGGTTTGCTGAGCAGTAAAGAAAGCTTCAGAAACACATGCACTCAAGAAATTCTGTTTGCTATTCAGGGCCTGAAGGCATCAAAGCAGACGGATGAGCAAAAAAGAAGCGGGGAGAGGAGTGTCATGTATTTCAGGAAATACTATAAGGGAGTCTAGCTCTGTTAAGCTAATCTTTGTGAATACATTAGATTTGTATACAAATCCTATCTATCTGCTCTCTGCACTTTTCTTCCTGCTTCCCAAGTCCTTCCCACTGGCCCGTCCTCCTACCATCAGATCCTAGGGGCAGGGAGATACTCCTTTTAACATATGAAAGGTCCTCCATCCTTCCTGATGTCTGTTATTAGGATAATCCCATAGTGGCCCTGCCTGGAAATTTCCCATGTGTTGCATAGCAAGATGTTAGAAAATACAGCCAGTAAAACCTCTGAAGTCTACCTTGAGTGGTGATCAGAATATGCTGAATTTCTTAACTACAGCAAGGGACTGAGGAGAGCTGGTGGATAGACGTGAGAAGCTAAGGAAATGATAGGATTGACCTCCCAGAGGTACAGGAGGGCAGTATTAAAAAAACAACAATGTAGCCGTTACAATGTCTACAGGGTAATTTGCTGACTGTTTTCACGCTTGTTTAGAAATGTGTACCGGTAAATACTTGCGTAATAAAGTGAGTAAAATATCAGTCTCCAAACTGGAATAAATGCACATGAGCTGATAACTCCAGGTTTATTTGTGAACCAATTTCTGTACAGCTCCTGCCTCCAGTAACTCTAGAATCCCCAAAGACACGTTGCAATAAACAGAAAGAATCGAAACAAAATGTATCGAGCGTACTCAAGCTCTTGATTTAGGTAGTAAGTAAGCTTCAGTGCTCGCACACTGCTCTCATGTATTTTCCTCGGAAAAGCTCTTTGCGTTTCCTGTTGGAAATCTTACTGTTTCAAAGTGTATCATAAACGTCCCGGTGTCATTGCCAATCACTTTTCACACCTTATCTCCAACAAGGAAATACTCTGTAGATCAAAACTAGTTAACTATGTCTTCTTTAACATACACAAAGCCAGCTTATTGTTTACCAGACTTCAGGCCAAAATGCAGCTGAAGCCCAGACAAGGAAAACAAACCCACAGTCGTGATTTTATACCCTTGAGAGTGCAGTTGATTGAGTGCATTTTCTGTCCATTCGGTAACTGTACCCCAACTCCAAGTGCTGCTCCCTGTGTCTCCCCCGACGCGGCCGGCTCACCTGCATCACCTTCCCATCCCTTCCTCGATAGAGCGTGTACAGCTGGTAGGCTCGGACCTCGTGGGGAGGGGGTGGAGAGGAGCAGCGGTGTTTACTTCTGCGCTTAGGCACGTTTTGCTGGGGCCGAGGGAGTGTCTGCTGATCAGCTGGGGAGATGGGGTCCGAGAGTGCCGAAACCTGCATAAAATACACACAACGTTTTCCTTATTTATGAGCCGCCCAGTAAACTACTCCCGGTGGGAATGGGACAAATCCATTGTGACAATTACAGCAAAAACCTGATTAAAATACCAATCCAGCTGCAGTGGCTGGCCACAACCTTGGTGTCTGTCAGCACAGTAACCAGATTTCTGCACAAATCTGGTTCATGTGACCCTCAACAGCAGGATTTCCCCACCAGAAATTGGTTTTGTCTGAAGGCTGCCCCTGCCCTGCGAGCACAGCGCGGCTGCTGTCCTGACTCACCAACGCGTGGAAGGGACACCTGTACTATTGCTCAACAACTATCCCTTCTCTCTTTACTGTTTTAGATCTACTCATACCTTTTCCTTTGGCTTTTTCTTTTTGCTCTTCTTCCCTTTGGGATCTGGTGAGGTTGACCGGGGCTCGTCCTTCAGATCACTCTTCCTCTGCGGTGCCTGGTCACTGCTCGGTGTGTCATCAGCAGCTGAGACGCTGCCCTGCTTGAAGCAAAGACAGGGATTTCAGAGCAGTTGCAGAGATGGGGAAAAGGTGCCTTTTCTTCAATGTCCCGGTTTTAAGCTGCTCCGCACACGAGTGGGTAACTCTTTAGCAGCAAAGCACGCCAGACTGCCTCAGACAGCTGCCATGGTCATGCGCAAGTGGTGGCTCTGAGCAGATTTAGTCCTGGTGGGTTTTATTTACACTCCCTCCTTGCAGCAGATGTAGATGGTAATGCTGGGCTGTACCTTGCTCTGTACCGCTTCATCCCGTGGTACTGACTGAGCTCGCCTTTCCTCCTTCAGCCTCTCTCTCTTCTTCCTCAGGCTTCTTCCACGGTTAAAGCGCGAGACCTGAAGGCAGACCACACTGTTACTCAGTGATGTCACGCTCTTTCTTACCACAAAAGCCAAGCGATAGAGCAGACCTTTTTCACCTCTACTACAAGGCGATATATAAAAGGAAGTGCACTGCCAGATGGGTACTGATGGGCCACGCAATGTGGGTGTTCATATCTCAGTGGTGGTGTGTTTTCACAGCTAAGTCCATCAGGGCACTTTGCTGTCCCTTGGAGGGGTGAGAGCCTCCTTCTGTGTCCTCCTGTGTCCCCAGGCTGGTTGCCAGGCCAAGCCAAGCCAAGCCAAGCCAGGCCCTTCTCACACAGAGGTGACGAGGAGGAGCAGGGCAGGGATCGCAACTGGTCTGATACCAGAATACAGGGCCCTCCCATGTGCTTTCTGGCCTGAAGAGCATTGTAGCATTTCTCACACAGCAGCAGAGTATAAACAGGACATTTTGTCCCCATTTCAAAGCATCTTCCAGTGCGAGCAACCATCCTGGGAGTGGGAGAAGTCTGAGGCCGGCAGCAGAGGGACACAACCTGGGAGCTTTTGGGTACAGGGCCACCGCAGGGAACAAGTGCCTCTGGCTGCTCCATCCTCTGCCAGTCAGGACAGCCAGGACCTCTGCCAGCACTTAATACTGAGGCTTAATCTGCACACTTTGCTGTGCTTGGTGCCCATGTCAACAGACCTGAGGCTAGCACACAATGCCAGCAGAAACGTAGGCACCTTTCACAGCAGAAGGTTAAGGACCAGGGGATGTGGCCCCTCTAGGTTAACTGGCCTCAGCTCCATGTGTATGTATGTATTGAGGAGAGATTTGTAACGTACCTGTGATGCTTTAGTGAGGAGCAGTGCAACCTCAGGGTTATTGTGCTGTCTGGCAACCTCTAGAGGGGTCTGACCTGCCTGAGAGGAAAAAGAAAATGGCACTTCCTTCCAAACACAAGCTGCTGGAAATGTGGAATTTCTCCACCCAAGGTCAGCACATGCTCCGTGCACAAGAGTATAGTGACTAACTGCTTTCATTTACCCAGATTTAATTCAACTCCAACACCCAATATTTTCTACCAACACTAGAGTGTCGAAGAGAGTCTGCATTAAGAGAGGGACAGTTGGGGTTGTTTAGAGAAGAGAAGGCTCCAAGGAGACCTTATAGCAGCCTTCCAGTACTTAAAGGGGGCCTACAGGAAAGATACGGAGGGACTCTTTATCAGGAGATGTAGTGATAGGACAAGGAGTAACAGTTTTAGACTGAAAGAGGGTAGATTTAGATTAGACATAAGGATGAAATTCTTCACTATGAGGGTGGTGAGGCTCTGGAACTGGTTGCCCAGAGAAGCTGGATGCCCCCTCCCTGGAAGTGTTCAAGGCCAGGCTGGATGGGGCTTTGAGCAACCTGGTCTAGTGGAAGGTGTCCCTGCCCATGGCAGGGGGGCTGGAACTAGATGATCTTTAAGGTCCCTTCCAACCCAAACCATTCTATGATTCTATGATTCTAATACAAAATACCAAAGAAACTCCACATCCTACTTACATTGTTGACAACAGATGCATCAGCCCCTGCCTCCAGCAACAGCTTAACCACCTTCCTGTGATTTAGAGCGGCAGCTACATGGAGTGCAGTATCTCCTGCCTGTAAGTTACAAAGCAGAAAGCAACCGTGTAACACACGTCCTTGGGTCTCACCCTGCAGAAATCATGCCTTCCTAAAAGATGCTCAGAGGTCAAAAGACCTACACTTACTGATGCAACAACTAAGCTTAAATAAGGCCTGGTCAATCAAAAAAGCAGAGTTGGGAGGAAGGGGACAGGAGGGGGCAAGGAACTACTTCAGCCTGGTTTTGAGAAATGCAGCTGGGGCACTGGTGATCTGGTTTAACTAAAGTGAGCGATACACGACGGAGCTTGGGGTTGGCCCAGCTTTACGCGC